CTTTAGATTTGAAAATAAGTCTCAAGTAGCCACGTTATTTAAATTCCAAAATTATATAGCGAACGATGTTTAGAAACGTGAACTCGCCTCTCCCGCCTATTCATCGTCCACTCAAAGAAAGAATAAATCTAAGATATTCAAGATTTAAAATATTAGAAGTATTAAGTTTTTTGTCAGGTTTAGCATGATACTGAGTAATAATTAATTAAATCAATAAAAATATTTAATTACTAATTCAGGATCAATGCTTCAGATTGCCAGCAAGTTATAAATCATAGTCTTTCAAAAATACTTGGCATTTCTCTTATCAATTCCAAGAATAAAGTCAAATCAAAACCTGTCACTCGAATTTTAGGAAGTAAATACACTAAGAAATAATATAAAAAATACGAGGAACATATCTTTTACGCGCCTGCAACAATTAATTCGCATGGGCGCTCCATGTAGCGAGCTTGAAAGTATTACTGCAAGTGGTAAACATCAATATATATATGAATTAATTCTTGTATTGAAAAGTGAAATAACTTTGTTACGATGCAATTTATGATACATTTTATTTCTGACGCGATCGTAGAATGTATCACTCAATAATCAAAAATTAATTATAAGCCGAATATTAGGAATAATAATCTATTTAAGAATATATAATCCTTACAGCTTAGATGAATTTAGTTACCACGGCTGATACACTATAGATGGATGTTGTTCATCACTAGTTCATCACGGCTGATACACTAGATGGTGTTGTTCATCACTAGTTCATCACGGCTGATACACTAGATGGGTGTTGTTCATCACTAGTTCATCACGGCTGATACACTAGATGGTGTTGTATATCACTGGCATCATGGAGCCGCTTCTTGCGTTAGCTGTCACTTGCAATTGTGCTTCAGAGTGAACACTGCTGCTGGCGACTGTACCTTCAGCTCATTTATCGCGGAAAAACAAAAAGGTTTCCTGGTGATATTGTACGAACATTTGGGCAATTGACTTTAAATTAAGGATGATTGTCGTATGATAAAGAAGAAAACGAAGAAATGGGCATCAATTGGGAGGCGGTTCATTCATGTGCGTTCTTATTTTCTTCGTGTGATTTTTTCTTCATTTATTTAGTTCTTGAGGAAAATTTTGTTAATAATTCAAAGAAGCAGCGCACTGTGTTCACCAACATCATGTTTCCTTGTGTAATTATCGGTAATTTTTCTTTTCCGATGTTTCATATTTTAATTTAAATGTACAACTACATGCAAGCTTACTCTGATAACAAACAAACTTTTAATTTGAACCTTCGTTTAACAATCAAGTTTGCCCGCCTAAGGCCCAAAAATTAGGAGGCTGTGGGGATTGAAGAGTATTTTTACGCATCTGCATCACATGCATAAACGTATTATTACATGTATTAAATGTATATTTTATTTATTATTATTCTGAGTACAAAAAGCAATTGAATTGCCATGCGTGTTGTGAGACAACCGAACCCATTTCATGAATTTTAAAACATAACAAATGAAATCTCGTGCTTGTTTTTATCGCTGTACAAGCGTTGTAAAAATAATCTGTCTAATAATCTCGTCTGCCGGTGATTGCTCGTAATCTCAATACTCGTTTGTTTGTTCGCTGTCTTGAAGCGTTTCTTCGTATTTTATTGCCTCCATTTCCTTCACTACAATAATCGTACACTATAACATAATGATGGTAATATGAGGTGTAAGCTTCAAGCTGAAGACGGAAATTATCATCTAACTTCATCTCATCTTCCGAGGTGTTGTTCATCACTAGTTCATCACGGCTGATACACTAGATGGTGTTGTTCATCACTGGTATCATGGAGCCGCTTCTTGCGTTAGCTGTCACTTGCAATTGTTCTTCAGAGTGAACACTGCTGCTGGCGACTGTACCTTCAGCTCATTTATCGCGGAAAAACAAAAATGTTTCCTGGTGATATTGTACGAACATTTGGGCAATTGACTTTAAATTAGAGGATGATTGTCGTCGGATAAAGAAGAAAAAGAAGAAATGGGCATCAATTGGGAGGCGGTTCATTCATGAGCGTTCTTATTTTCTTCGTGTGATTTTTTCTTCATTTATTTAGTTCTTGTGGAAGATTTTGTTAATAATTCAAAGAAGCAGCGCACTGTGTTCACCAACATCATGTTTCCTTGTGTAATTATCGGTAATTTTTTTTTCCGTTGTTTCATATTTTAATTTAAATGTACAAACTACATGCAAGCTTCCTCTGATAACAAACAAACTTTTAATTTGAACCTTCGTTTAACAATTAAGTTTGCCCGCCTAAGGCCCAAAAATTGGGAGGCTGTGGGGATTGAAAAGTATTTTTACGCATCTGTATCACATGCATAAACGTATTATTACATGTATTGAATGTATATTTTATTTATTATTATTCTGAGTACAAAAAAGCAATTGAATTGCCATGCGTGTTGTGACACAACTGAACTCATTTCATGAACCCTAAACATAACAAATGAAATCTCGTGCTTGTTTTTATTGCTGTACACGCGTTGTAAAATTAATCAGTCTAATAATCTCGTCTGCCGGTGATTGCTCGTAATCTCAATACTCGTTTGTTTGTTCGCTGTCTTGAAGCGTTTCTTCGTATTTTATTGCCTCTGTTTACTACACTACAATAATGCCTACACAATGACATGTTGATGGTAATATGAGGTGTAAGCTTCAAGCTGAAGACGGAAATTACCATCTAATTTATTTCATCTTCCAGAACTGGATTGATACGAAAAATTATGAACATGGAATATATTTTTAGATTTTAAGAACCCAGGGAAAATTTTTCGGACAAGACCTTTGCTACTTTCAAATCTGCATGGCCGATTAGAGAAGGGGAGAATGTTAACAAATTTAAACAAATTACCTTTTATTTTAATTTTATATATGTGTATTTTTTTAATTTTTTATGTTCAAGAACTGGATTAATTTGTATCACAATTTTTGAACAGGGGATGAAGTTTGTAAATTCGATACTAGAAATTATTCTGCCTTCAGTTAAGTTTGATGAGAAATAATTTGTTTGTATACAAGAAAAATCGAACGAGATGATGAAAAATTGTCGTGGAAAATATGCCAATTAAATTTACGGTACAATTAATATATGAAGGCAACGCGCGACGGCAGTGAACAATTGACGCCAAATACTTTTGTACGTGAATACAGGATACACCTCATCAGATGAGACTAACGTGTTTTGTTCCTTCGCTTATATAAGAAAAGAGAAATGAAAACAAATTAATGGACATTTGTTTTCCTCTTATAGTTGAAATTGTGTTATCGATCCATTAGTAGTTAAATATGAATAACTTTCAATCAGTATTCTGATATAGATCAATATTCTCAACTTGTCATCTCCATCAACCCTGCAAATGCTACCAGGTCGCACATAACGCGCACTCTATTCATGTTTGTCACCATTACCTCCGCTGCTAACGTGTTTGTCACCATTACCTCCGATTTGTCGCCATTACCTCCGCTGCTAACTTGTTTGTCACCATTACCTCCGCTGCTAATTTTTAAGCCACGGCGCTGCGCAATGAATGCATTTATGAGCCTAGATCGCGGACGGCGGACCAGCGTTTACTCTGGGCATGCAGCGCCCGTTTGGGTTCAATCGTTTAATATCATTTCGTGGTCTTGCAAAATCAACCCACCAATATGAGAAATAAGTTGATATGTTGAGCAAAGTTAACCAACTTATTGTACGGCTGCTCTATCGTTGGAATAAAAATGTCGCATCGTCCAAATGTTCATCAACAAGGCGAAGGTGCTGTTCATATCAATGTTACAAAGAACTAAACGTATTTCAACCTCGTTGTTGTTGATAAATTATTGACTTTCTGTGATTTCTTATTATCAAGTAATCACCACATTCGGGCTCCTGACTCGGGCACCCAAAAATAGGCAAGATACCAAGTTACATTTTTTCAGTACCCCGACTGGCCGACACAATACACCATAACCAAAGCGGTTGACCTGAGGCCCCTAAAGGCCAACGTTGGAGTTCACTTCTTTGTTTAAAGAGCGCGACTGATGCTTAAGATCTTTTAAATAGAGATACGTGCTGTGTGGCCGCGAGTATTCTGTCATATTTGTCTACCAATGTAATGTTGATGCCTTCCTTGCGCCCATGTTGGAAATGGTAAGAATTTTAGCAGAGCTTGATGTTGTAAAAGACAAGAAAATTACTATTTTATTCGAAATATTATGTTCCATTTAAGTTATTATTATTTGTTTGTTTCTTAGAACACGTTTCTTTCGTTGAAATTTATCACATTGACTTGCCAGGCAAAACGTATAACCAAAAATAGCCTTGATAATGATATCAATGAGCCGCAACCGCAGATAAGATGTGATCGAATTATGCATTTCTTTTCATATGAGATGGAAGACCATAAGAATAATGCCGTGATACATTTGTAATTCAACTTAAATAATATAAAAAAAACGAACTTGACGCCAGCAGTTACGCCTAGGATGATTAAAGAAGATGAAACGTTTCGAGCAGTTGAAATGCCCGGATCAAAATTTTTATTCCGAATTTATACTGAATAATAAAATGAAAACTAGTTATTCAGAATATATTTCACATGGCTTTAACTAATGCCAGAACATTGAACATTTTCCAACTTGAAGAATGACTATGAGTTAGTGGTTTGGTTTAAAATGTTAGTCTTATTATATTAAAAAATCTATGATAATTTAAACCCTGCACGAGTGACCGGAGGAACTCTTATGTGAGTTTTAAGAACCGAGGAGGTCTTCAAGTTCATCAATATCACGAACGAAATCTGCGAAGCCAAAACTATTCCATACAATTTTTCTTTGTCACGTGGTATCTCATCAGCCACGTGCGTGGATAGGCCTTCGTGGACTGGAGCTCAGGGTATATAAAGGCAGGGGCAGGGCACAACCGCCAGTCGCAGTCGAGTTGTCAGTGTGTGCGTACGAAGTTCCAACGCTCCTTTACTCCACCAAGATGGGCAGAAACCAGACGGGCAAAAAGACCAAGAAGTCTCGCAACTGGGTGAGTTTTGATCGCTGACAATATTTTCTTATATACTAGAAAGAGCTTACGAAGTCGTGTTCAGCAGGAGAAAATCATTTATTAAATTTATAAATGTAAATTTAGTAAAAATACTAAATTTAGAGGTAACTGTTGTTACTCCGAAGTTATGAGCATTTGAACCGAGCCATTAAATTAACGTAAAATTCTTAGTGGAAGTATGAAAAAAGCTCCTGTTAATATTTTTGCACTCATTAATTATCAGTGTGTGTTCCCCAGCTTTGTATATACTTATTCCGATATATTTCTCTGGATAATTTGAACCGATGTTGGAAGAAATTTTTACTATCGAATTTGATTTTATAATGAACTCATTTTATAATGAACTAATTTTAATAATGAACTCATCATCAAGAAAATTTTGCCAGAACAAGCACCAAGCACCGACGTTTTCAAAAAGTATTATGTGTTGTTTTTATTGTATTGTTCTTCATTAAAAAGCAACTTATAATAGCAGCCCCTCGTTAGGTTGCAATTCAATTTGCTTCTATAATAACAGCAAACAATAATAATGTTGCGAGCGTGGTGTAGTTCAGCGCTGCAGGCGTGGTCTCCTCAGTGCTAATGTACAATGTTGATACTGTATGATGATTCAGTGACTGAAGAATTGAATTCTAGAAATTTAGAGGAAGTCAGTGAGAGGAGTAGGAAGTTGGATGGAAGAAGACAGCCAGAATAGCTTCAGGTTTTACTGCGTTTGAGAGAAGATGTAAGACTTAAATAATGATGGCACAATCCTAACAGTATGTGACAAACTGCCAGCTCAAATTTCAAGATCAATATGCTCCTGATTAAAATTATAATAATAAAATATAGATTTGATCTAATTTTATATAAATTTAATATAGCCATGTTCCATATCAGGTATACCAGAGGTCCCCATCTGACCATAACCGATTTTGATGAAATTTCACACATATATAATTCATAATTTAATTTGTTCTTATATTTCAATATGACTGCCAAAATTTCCTAAGCTGTTCCCTACGTTTATTTTTCTCTACTCTCCAACGTCAAATCTCGTTCTATCTTTTTCTATTTTCCGTCTATGGTAACTTTCTTTTACTGATTTCTCCTTTATTTAAAATTAGCCACCAATAAGCTGCTACTTAGACGCATACAAATTTCAAGTTTGTTAATTAGGTCGTTCATATATTTGTGTTCAATTAATTAAGATTTATAACCTTGCAAATATTTTAGGTAGTTGAATGTTAGGATTAGTGAACATCATTGCTTTTGTCTTCATACATTATCGGTGACTCTGCAGGCAAACAACGCCTTCAATTATTATTTTGTGTCAACAGGATCATAATAGCGACCATCGCCTTGCAAGACTTCAATAAAACCGATCAATTATTTTGCATGCCTGTCACAATTTGGATTATAAAGGTACTCAATAAAGTCATTCATCGCAACAATTTGAAATAATTCAAATAAATAATATTAACCCGATGGTGTCAGGCAATCCAAATTCTTTTCAAGGCAATTTCACCAAGCATTAGAATATTATTTTAAGCAGTCATCCTGTAATTTATGGTGTACTCGTAAGTACAATATTTCCATCTTAATTAAATGCTCTAGATTTTATTACACATTAGTGAGGCGTCATTGCAATAATCAACTGCGCAATAGTCGCGTATGCTGCAATTGTTGGTACATTGAAATTGTCAATTCCTGTAATAAAATTCACTTCTCTTCATTCCGGTAATAAAATTGATTCTTCTTCATTTCTTTAATAAAACTCATTCCTATAACAAGATACATTCTTGATCATTCCGATATAAAATTTATTCCTTTTCATTTCGATAGTAAATTTCATTCCTCTTCATTCCGGTAACAAAATAAATTCCTCTTTATTCCGGTAATGGCATGAAATTTGTTCCGATTCATGTGTGAAATTTCATCAAAATTGGTGATGGTTATAGGTGTGGCTGACTCTAAAATTTGTTACAGGTGACATGGAATGACCCTATATAATTTGATATAAATTTTATATTCTCTAATTAAAGATTTGTTTGACGTTGGTGTAGATTTGATATTGATTTGATAGAAATGATACAAGTTGAGGTTTTGATATAAAGCTGTGTCCAATTCTTACTATAAAAGGAGCAAAATAGTTGTTGCAAAGAAAACTAAAATTACACGGCAATTAATTAAGGAACAGAAAACCATGTTCATGGGAAGATTTAAAGAAATACTTAATGACAGATGAATGTGGTGATTCTGGAAACGATGATTTAAAACAAAAATATAAGCACATTTTGTTTGTTTGGATTTAATGCGAAAACGAAAGAAAACATGAAATGTAAAGACAACGAGAAAAAGAGAGACTTTCGAAATCTCCTCTTTTGATTAACGAGTTACAACATCGTGAGACGTGATACTCTATATCCGCAGATATTTATAAGCGATTCTAGATGGCGTTTTTCCTAAATTCGCTCTTATTTTATTTATTTACGGATATTTTCATTTTTCCTCCCTCCCTTTATTAATTATCTATATTATTGATATAATTGGCAATTAATCATTTATTTATTAATACCCCCGGCTAATTGCACGTGACTTGTCATTATTTGCAGGCGAAGTCAGATATCCTGGCGGGCGTCCTGCAGTACAAGTCTCCTCCTCCTCAGGGTGAGTATGGCAGCTGTTGAGGCATCAATACGGTGATTTATCACCACGACTCTTGTATTTTTATTGTATTGGTTAAGTTTTCGTTGGTTAAGGCAATAATAGTCTAGGATTTTCTGCTTATGTGATTCTAATGAAGGGAGTTTAAATGAATTCTATTCATAGATAACTTCCCATCGATTGTTAATAATCGCATTCAAAACGACTGAGCTGCACAAGCAAGAAATTTGTTTATATTCGTAATGTCAAATGATTTGGTTGAAAGGAATTCAAGCAAACCGAACGATTATTTAATTATTTATGCTGCCAAAAACATTGATTGATGTAATTGATTTATTTTTATTGCGGATGAGCTGCTGGATTAGGTCTAAAATACGGCGTTTGACGTTATAAAGCAGCCTGCATGGTCTTGCATGGGCCTTGATTGTGTAAGTTAATTATTCAAGGAGAATAAGTGAAAAATTCTCCACAAAAATCGTACACGGTAATTAAGAACAGCTAGTTCACATATAAAAGCGTTCCACATTGTAATTAGAATGTGCATTTAATATATAAGCTGCCGACACCTAACAATTTTCTACGAGCTCGCCGCAGAAATATGTTAACCGTCCCCAGCTCTTCAATATCGCGATAAGTTTCATGTTGCGGAATATAGGAACAAATTCGAAGGGATTGCTTCATTGATTGTCCTGCTGCGTTTATAAAAAAAAATATTCATTAGGTAGGCATATGATATAATCAGCCACATACGAATTAATTCTACGTAAATTGACGGTTTAGCATCCTGGCTAGCAACCATCCTTACTTCTTAAATTAATCCACTAAAGAAATGGCTCATGTTCCGGGTCAACCTGGTCAGATAAATTAGCTCATACGACAGTTCATCACCAGCTCTGTACCGGTAAACAATAAAATGTGATTACCGTGTTCTAACCCAGCATCTCCCTAACCCTGACAGTTTTAGTTCAGCATAAGCTACTGGTTTTTACAAATTTCAATATTTTTTAAATATACTTTTGGTGGTGCATAGGAGGAATTGAATAGCTGATTACATTTATTGGCATTATAATTAATGGATATGTAATTATTTGATAAAATTTAATTTTTATTTAAATTGTGTGTCTCAAGCAATGTATTTTTATAACAAGTTCAACATTTTCTTCCCAAATAGACGGCTCCGACACAACTCCGCAGAGCTCGCCAACCTGTGGTCTGATGAATAGCAACAATTCATGCTACATGAACGCCGGTCTGCAGCTTATGGCCTCAGACCCGGTCTTGTGTAGAATAATAGAGAAGACCGTGCCTGCAGACCTCCTACACCAAGCACCTGCAACATACGCGTTGTAAGTAGCTAGATTATAGACCGCTGTTCTTCTCAGTTTGTTACTAAATCTATTTGTAGTAAACAGCGCCACTTTACAATGAAATAATTCCAAGAGTTTGAACGCTTGCGAACAGCAGACAAGTGTTCACTAGAGATTGTTGAGAACAAATGTGTTCCCGTGCCGTTTGCTGACGAACTGCAATTGTTGCCCCGACAGTCGGCAGTTCCTGAAGAAGAGGCGCGGTGGCCTCAAGACGGGCGTGGCAGCGCCGGTGGCCGCCGATGCCGTGGCCGACGTGCTGTTCATGTCGGGGGCCTTCGAGTCGGGGCGGCAGTCCGACTGCATGGAGTTTCTGCTGTTCCTGCTCAACGCGCTCAGCAGGGAGGTGAGTCGGAGGGGCGGCATGAGCAGCAATTGGTGATGAGGGAAATGATGTTATTTGCTGCTGAACTTTGTTTCGGTAAATAGAAAAGACGTTTTTTATTGTTTTTTTTATCTGGTGACTGTGAACCCCTTCTGTCACATACTATTTATATCTATCCTCACCTTTAATATATTGTATATATGAATCGTATTAGATATGATATTCATTTTATTATTACAATACGAAATGAGTTTCGTGGAATGTTCCCCTACATTTTATGACACAATGATATTTCTAGAATGAAAGGTTGCTGCCAAATATATATAATATTGCTGAGAATAATTGTATAAAATCGAAGAAAANGATGAATATTGCGTACAGCCAAGTAATGATAATATAATGATGAATATTGCGTACAGCCAAGTAATGATAATATAATGATGAATGTTTATCTCGTTGCAGAAGCGTCGAGCGATGAGGTGGGCGACGACAGCGTCACATACGAGCTGCTGAGCGTCGTATGCCACAGCGGCACCAGCGCGGACCATGGCCACTACACAGCAGGGGTACGTGGTACGGACGGTACTTGGTACCACTGCGACGACGAGTCAATTAGCACAAGTACTCTACGGTACTGTGTTACATCGGGTGCCTGCGCCATGCCGTATTGTCTGTTGTACAGACGAAGACTATAGCGTAGCATTACATCTGCATGAAGCTTTGGTGAGATGGTGCTTTGGTCTATGGTGAGAGCAGCCGTTGTGTGTGAACGAGTTGGCCAGTATTATATTAATTTAGGGTAATTATAGACGTTCAAGGTTTGGTTGCCTTGCCTTAGTTCCATTGAAAACAATAACCACTGATATTCTCTGCACGATTTATGTTCTCATAGTGAATAAATGCAAGTGAACGTTTCGGGCCAATTACTGCAGTAACATCTCATTTTTAAAATTGTCTAGTCTATTTCACTAGCCTTAAACATTTGTCTGTTTCGTAGAGAGGACACTCGCCTGATGTTTTACAACGCATTTGTCGTGTAAAGTTTGTACATAATTGAAGCTCGCGTGGCTAGACGCAATTTTTAAGTTGAAGCGACGCGGTTGAATTTATTGTATATACTCTGATGTATATTGTGTGTGCATTCTAGGTTAGCTCCCCGTAAAATATATATGCGTTTGATGCTATTGTGATACTCGTGTATAAATGAATAGACTAAGAAAATATGTTTTTCGTCAATACAATTTTTGTTTCTTTCTCCGCGTAACCGCATTGATTGGTTACCCAATGAAAAATATTTTTCTGTAATGAAAGAAAACGAATAGAAAACTATAATACTGAGGGCACCCAATAACTTGTTTAAATGAAGAACTTCTGTCATCCTATCCTGACATCACAATATACTCGCGGAGAGGTGGCCGTTGTTCTGAAATCGACGTAACAATTTCCAGGCTACATGGTGAAGATCTTGTTGTTATGAACCAAGTTATGTTGTTATATATAAGAACGAACATTGTCTCTGTTGTAAACAAGTTTCGTCAGTCTTGAAAAGATCCGGTCAAATGACACTATTTTAAACCTTCTGTGAACAAGTCAGGAAAAGTTCAAGAATCGGCGACAGGCCACATCAGGCTTACTCTTCAGCGCCGACATCACTATGTTATGTTATGTTAATTTGACATTCGTGCTAAACATTAAGCTTCATGAGTGCCTTGAATAGCCCCCAAAGAAAAAATATAATAATATTTCACGCCGTCGTACAATTTCCGAAAATAACGGACAAAATGATATAAGAGAAAAAATGATGATCTGAAAACTCTTCATATGTTTTAGAAGCTCAATAATACTTGCATTTTGGATGACACAAAGGCGCAAAATTTATAACAGGTAAACGATATATGTAAAAATAAATACTAAAATGAATTATTTTTTACATCAGAAAAAAATAGAATGACGTTTATACGTACAAGTGTACTCCACCATAGTAAAATAATTGTGGTGCTCGGCATTAACTCTTATTGAAGGCGCTGGTCGTATAATTTCCCCTGAACGACAACAACGCAAGTGCTCGACAGGTGTTAAGTTCGGTAGAGTCTATCCAAGCGTCCTACAATCGGATGAAATTGAATAGATGTAGGCTTCAGGAATACAGGATTTAATAAAAAAAATCAGCAGTTTACACGTTTAAAGAATGACATTGATTCCATTAATGATCAGCACATCAAGTAGCTGATAAAAACAGGTTTTAGAGACATGAATTACGCATAGAAACGTTATGAATTAAGAGACCACGCTGCGCGGCACGCAGTCGTGCTGAGGTAAAGTGATTCACCAGCGACATGGATCTTGTTATTAAATTAGATGCTTGGATAACTCGTATTTCAGTGAACGGTAACATAATTATTAACCTAAAAGGCTTGCTCGACAATATAGGCAATCGTTAAGAAGAACTTGATGCTGTTATCTGAGGCGAAGGTTATTTTAACGACGAGCACGTGCATTTCTCCATGGCTTTCTCTTGCTTGGCCCCCTGGCCCTCTCTTGAGAAAGACTTCGCTACAAATCTCTCATGAGATTTGTAGGCCCTCTCTCTTGAGAAAGACTTCGCTACAAATAACTTCTGAGAGAAAATCACGGTATGCATCGACGGGCGCTCACTGGCTGATGATCGGCGTCTTATTAAGGCTTATATAAATGAATATATATGCTGCTATTCATCAATAGAAACCACCCACCTGCAACACTGCAGGTACCTAAACCACTCCCCACGCCGACTTGCTGCATTCCAAGTCACCGAGAAAATGGGAGCTTTGGTCCGCATCCTCCCCGCCCTTTTGGCCGCGATATCCTGCAGCACAGCTTTGTCAGTTGGGGAGTGAAGGCTTTTCTGACTGTAATGCTTGGTGTGAAATGCTCACCTCGGCTTATCTAGTATGTCTTTAATATAAATTATAATTTTTATCCAGAGAAATATGAAACAAAGTATACAAGCGTGCGTGTGTCAGGGTCGCATTATACAGGGTTTAGTTATAAAGTACAGATGTTTAAGTAAGAAGAATTTAGCTTTAATTGATATTTGTTTCACTGGAAGTTCAATAACTTCTTGGTACCTGAGCCATCGTGTCAGGTCTCATACTTTAAAATTAGACGTCCATGCCTGATGCGTTCATTATTGCCAGCAGACATTCAACACATTATTAGACGACCTCCAGCAATATGGCTCAAACCACGGCTCCACAGTTATCACTTATAAAATGTTGTTATATTTTCACATATATAATCCATTCCTAACATTGAGAGTATTCCTACTTACGATATATCAAACTTGTTATATTTTTCCATAAATAATACTGTCTTTAATTTTAGATAACCCTGACTACCGTAAATCACGCCCTACAACGGATATGACCCTGATGGTCCCTTCTTTGAGTTTCTGGACAACTCCAAAAACACGTCCAGACAAGGCGTCGCTGGCCTCATCAGCCTCGTGCGTTATACTGAAGAGTGAATAAGTATTTATTATGATTATATTAATTCTAATTCAATCCTGCGTGGAAAACCATTCTGAATCAGGGTATATCCTATTACTACTCTGACAGCATCAATATAAGATCACTCAAGCGCTTTTCTTTCCATCGCGTGAAGAATGAAAATTTGCAATTTAAAGTCGAAGTGGTCGTGGTACGTCAGTTTGGACCAGTGACGTACGAACAGAAGCTCAAACATACGATTACTGCGAAATAATCATCAGGCTCTGCATGTCAGATAACTCCGGATAATCATGCCAGACACTGCAAAAAAAAACCCGAATAGGTGATATGCGCCTTCCATTCAATCGCTGGCAGAACAGGTCGACGCTGACGCTGCTCGGACAACCGTCCGCGGTTAATGGACAAAGTCCTGAATAACAAGGCACCTCATGCCGCGAAAAAAGTCACTCCTGTCAATTAAAAAATCCTTAAAGAATTATACATTGAAGGCAATGGCCTTGACAATGAGGCTCATGCATGGATGTTGGCAAAATAAGAAAATGCTTTGCCAAATTTAATATCGAATAAGGAATTTTTTCCTACAGTTTCTTGCCAATTTATTGTTATTGCCAGCAGAAGTAACGAATAAAAAGAAAACTAACCTTTCTAAATATATGATTTCGTCCATATTTTGAGCTCAAACGACTAAATGGATCATACGGTCGCCTTCGATGTTGTGGTCTCGTATGACCAAGTGGATTGTAATGTCATTTTAATTTTTTATATATAATTTTCAACTTACTACACTCAGCTTTAACCTACGCAGTCATCGTAATCACAAGAAACTACCCAACAATTTTTTTTACCTGATTAAATATGTGGTTGTTAGAGGGCTAAAAGAGTAGGATACTTTCATCATGAGAGAGAGAGAATAAGTGTGCTAAGGCATTTATGCTGCTAGGAATAAATAAGCTAAGATATTATATTACAAAGGCAACAAGCTCAAGCGTAGCTACTTGCCGATCTGAAAACAGAACAAAGGTTCCGCATCGTTGTCGCGAATTCCTCGATCTCGGACTTCGCAGCACTGAGTCTACCAGCACTGTGTCTACCAGCCTTAAGGGGGGCTGAGCTACCAGCACTGTGTCTACCAGCCTTGAGGGGGGCTGAGCTACCAGCACTGTGTCTACCAGCCTGATTAGACTAATAATAAAAATGGATTTGGTCTATCGTCTCATATATTTTTAAAGCTGGACAATCAGAGTGATTACTCTTCCAATTTTACGTTACGTACAGGTTCAGGTTCCAGATATTCATAACTTATCATTTTGTCAGGGTGACGCCGAGTGGCTTGATAGGCAAGTATGAAAAAGTTCTCGCATAAATAGGTTACGGCAAAAATATCGTACAGAGATAGGGTTGTAATGAAACACTGATACATTTCATATTAAATTGGAAAATTCAAGTTCCCATTCTACGTTGTCGAAAAATCTCTAGTACATTAAAAAGGGTAATCTGAACACAATCAAATTTGAGAACCTATCAGTTAACATCACTAAATTTTCTCTATTTATCATTTACTAGAAATATTGATCCGTTGCAGTTCCGTTGAGCCGTACGACTCTTGTAAACGTTCGTATAATGCACGCACGCGTTGCGGCAGAATTTCCAGCGGCCGTACCGTGTCCGTAGCCGCTCATACCCGCTGCCCGCGGTCGTTCTTGC